TCTCCCGTATCATCAACTCAGTGTTGTTTCGTGGCCGGCCATAGCCCCCTATTGGCCCAACACGTTTTGTGTGAATTGCCGACGTAGCGGCGAACAGAGAACTCCAGAATTCCGAAGACCCAACCCAGACGCGCGGCGACCTGCGCCACGTGGCGGCCCCCGACGGCCTAACTTTTCGGGACCGCCTCCACCGCGGAGGGATTTCCCCGCAAACCGTCGCCCACAGTTCCCCGGCCCCATCGGGCCTTAAGTCCCCTGCGCACGCGCCCCTTTTTCGCCCAATTGCAATCATATCCTTAAGACTCCCCCACTTCCCCCAAAAATCTCTCTTGGCACACCCCTTTTCGCACTTCCAGGCCCACATCCCACTCCGATCAGGAAGTCGCGCTGGGCGTGAGGTTGGTATCGGAGCCCGACACGTGGCTAGGGCCTTAGGATTGATAGCACGATAATTAGGCGACATGGCTAACCGTGGGCGACCTCGCCCTCGGAACGCGCGTAGACGCGACCCTATCGTCACCAGAAGCAGATCGGCTAACCGACGAGCAGCCAATATGGCTGCCAACGTGCAAAATCCGGTTCTGCAACAAAATGTTAATCCACCTAATCAACCTGCCCCACGTGCACGAGCTCCCATGTTGCCACCAGATCTCGATCTATTTGATCCGGCGCACCATCTCGCAGGAGCATGGTTGGCTACGCTTAGAGCACAGCAGTACGATGATCAAGAGGCACAGATCAACATTCTGGCTCGAATGGGAGGAGATACCCATCATTGGTATAGTACCTATGTATGGGTGGATCTCCCGACCTTCGAACGGGATTTCATGAATCGATTTGATTATGTCCACCCTGAGCAAGCGCTGTACATGATCAAGGACCGAGTGCAAAAACGTCTCGAATCCGTCGCGGAATATCGAAGCTGGTTCTACCGAATATTCATTAAAAACTGAGTGAGGTGAGCAAGTAGGGAGAGATTTGTTCATTAACGGACTCCGCAGTCGAACAATAAGGGCTAAGTTGCGAAAGCAGTTTTCCCCCATCACCCATACGCTACAACAAGTTATGGCTGTTGCGGAAGAAATGGAACGGAAGTTCACGGCGAACTTCCTGGAAGGAGAAGATTACCCTAGAGACGGAGATTCGACCGAGCTCGCTCGAGCGAGAGCAGAGCTGGCTAGTTTACCAAACAAATTTGAAAACATGGGGTTCGTATCAGGGCCTGTCACCTATATGGAACAAATAGGCCCCAAACGAGTAATCCTAAGTGAGACTCCGAGCATCTCTGCTCCTATGATGCCCCCGCCCGTCAGGGCAGTACCCCCGCCGCCGGTAGAGGCTCCGGTACGATCAAACGAATCAGCGGCCATTTTCGAACTAACCAAAACTTTGATTAGTTTGATCCAAGAAAGCAAAAAGGTACAGCGAGAGCACAACGCGCTGGAAGCCATGATGAGGAACATGCGACCTATTACGGTGCGTGCCCCTCCGATGCAACAAGGATTAGCCCCTGCCCCTGCTCTCGGAGGAGCTGCGAACAATCTGAATGTTTGCTATGCCTGTCATCAGCCCGGACATCTGGCCCGTGATTGCCCCCACCGACCCCCACAACAGCGGATCGGAGTCGCGCCTATGGCTGCGGCCCACATCGCCAACGAACCTGGACGAGTCGAAGCCTTGATGGAAGAAGTAGAGGGTGGGGGAAGTGCCCTTGCCACCACGGAAGAGGCCGTCAAGCTAATTCTGCTAGATCAGTACGTATCGCTGGGATATCCTGGGCTAGGAATGATCGGAACAATCAGACCAGCGCCAGAACAGAAAGAGGTGGCGGAGTGGCGACCGTCCTTTGGAGAAATGGAGTCGGGAGGACCCACCTTCGTCACAGGGGAGATCGATGTATTAAACATCATCCGAGCATTGGACCATCGGATTCCCCTTCCGATCGGTCATCTACTCTTGATCTCCGAGCAAGCCAATGAGCGAATGTTACAACACTGTAAAGCGAATCGAAAACTATTCGCTCTCGCCTGAGCACCGAACGTAAAAGCCAAAGGCCCCGCGCTGGAAGAAGACCCAACAAACACTCCGGATCCGATACTGTTAGGATTAATTCAGAAAGACGATCATTTCCTACGGATTAAACCCATTCCGTGCAAATCTGCAGAGTGCGATATAGAAATTTGGGGAATTCCTTACAACGCAATTATAGACTCGGGAGCAGCTGTGTTGGCTATTTCGCTGAGAGTGGTCGAAAGGGCAGGCAGGAAAAACGATCTGATCATGCTCACCGAGAAAGATCAACTCGTTTCGGTAGATAAGGAAAAAATTAAAACGGTGGGGAGAATGACCAACGTCGCCTTCCGATTAGGAAAAGTACACGCGCTTGGGGATGTCGTAGTACTAGATGTTAATACATACAACGTTCTTTTCGGACTTCCTGCTCTTGTGGCGTTACGAGCAAACCTGGATTTCGAACGACGAGCGATTGTCCTCCGAAATACAGGAGGAAAACCCTATGTTGTGCCCATGCGATTAACCCTTCGCACTGCTATTAACGCGGTTCCACGGGTTTCGTCGATGATGCCAGGGACCCTCCGCATGATCTCCTGGGACGAACCCGCAGAAGGAAAGTCATCAACTGAAGATGCGGAAAGCAGTGACGAAAATGATTCGGAGATCTTGAAATTGGTACGACAACGCGTTTACTACCCGCCGCCCAAAACGATAGCAAGAACGATGTAACTGACCAGCCGAAAAATTCAAAGGACAAAGGCAATGATCTTAGGCGAGCCCCTCGTAAAGATTTCGAGGATGGTCGATTCTTTGGAACCCCCTCAAACTCTGTACGAAGGAATCGCCCCTCTCCTCGGCTGGTATAGCCACAAGAAGCATTACTGTGATATAACGGATCTACCCAAGTCCTTACTAACCTCGGCCAAGGAAGTGAGATTGTTACGCTTGGGGGCGGAAGCAAGCTCTCTGGAACCCCCTGGGCGTTTTGAAGCAGAAACAGGCGGACTGGGGATAAAGATCGCAACTAAGGAGGTGCCATGGCAGGATGTTTCTGATGGGATTACCCCGGAAGGACACGTGGCAATCCGAGAAGAAGATGCTCAGATGATGGCCACGGTGTTCTCCTAGCGATCGGATCATTCATTCATCTCGGCGCCACCACCTGATTTGACAAAACAGGCGAATACGAAACAGATTGACGTTCGGATCTGGGACCAACTTTTCAAACTACACGTTCCACAATATGTGCCGGATGAAATCCACCGGGTAATTGCGGATATTCTAACGGAATACCAAGGAGCAATTTGTGTGTCAGACACTGACATTGGGTTGTCGTTAGTAATCCGACATGAAATTCAGACGGGAAATCACTCCCCAATTCATTACAAACCCTATCGCTATTCCTTGATTGAACGCAAAAAGACTCGAACGAATTCGGGAGTTCGAAGCCAGTGGTTGGATTGAACCCGCTACCGGACCTTGGTCCTTTCCCGTAGTATTAGTGCCGAAGAAAAATGGGGCGATTCGCATTTGCATTGATTATCGCAAGCTGGATGAGATCACGATCAAAGATGTGTATCCCCTGCCCCGGATTGATGATTTGTTGGACGCGATTGGGTGCGCTAATTATTTCAGCAAGTTCGATATTCGGCATGGCTTCCATCATATTCTGGTAAGGGAAAAAGATCGACCGAAAACGACCTTTGTGTTGTTTGAGGGTACGTGGCAGTGGGTTCGGTGTCCAATGGGAATTTGCAATGCGCCCGCCACATTTCAGCGAGCAATGAACATGACGTTCCAGAATTTCGTCAACAAGCCATGGCTGACGCAAGGGATGATTAACTTCTGCATGATCATATACATGGACGACATCCTGGTCTATTCGGAGACTTATCACGGGCACGCGCAATATATTGAATGGACATTGGGCGCACTGAGAGGTGCTGGGTTCAGGATTGCGCTCGAGAAAAGCGAATTTTTCCTCTCGGAAATTTCGTTCTTGGGCTATGTCGTGACACGTGGAGGATTGCGGTCGGACTCGAGAAAAGTTGCGGCGGTGAAGGAAGCCCCAGTTCCCACGTCACTGATGCAGGTTCGAGCCTTCTTGGGGCTGGCGTCGTACTATCCGCATTTCATCAAAAGCTTTGCTGCGATTGCACGACCGCTAACGAATCTGTTATGGAAAGATCAGCCTCTCAATTGGGACGCGGAGTGCCAGCAGGCCTTTTCAACCCTCAAAGACGCTCTGGCAACAACCCCTATTTTGATTCGGTCGGACCCCTCGAAGCAGTTCATTCGCATCACGGACTGGCAATCGGAAGCTATTTCCGCTATTTTAGCACAGAAGGGGAACGATGGGCGCGAACACGTCATCGAGTACGCGTCTCCAACCGTACCAGACGAACGAAGAAACGACTCCGCACCTCAAGGCGAGTGCTATGCGGTAGTTTGGGGAATCCAACACTTCCATCCGTATCTCTACGGACAGAAGTTTCGCCTCGTAACGGATCACGAGCCTCTGCTGGCATTGAAGAAACTCACCAACTACACGGGCATGATTGGCCGTTGGGCGGTGCGACTACAAGAATATGACTTCGATATCGTCCATCGAAAGACAGAGCGACACGGCAACGCGGACGAGCTGACACGTCTGCATCGACCTGCCAAGGTACCAAAGGGCGAGGAAATTACACCGTGGAAAGAGCCAGACCTGACTAACGAGCTGAAGTACGGACAAGTGGCAATTCTCCCACGTGGCAAGAACCGAATCGGTGGCGATGGGTGACGGAGGTAACCCCACTACCCCTCTCTCCCCCCCTTCCTCTTCGTTTCTCCTCTCCCTGCCTGACAAATTTTGCTATTTTTGCGAAGCCATCTCCCGCGTATACTCGGTCTCCACGTGTCCTAAGGGGGAAGGGTATGTCGATTGGATAGATTGTCGACAGTGCGTCGCACGAGCCCATGGCTCGTGCATCCAAAAACGAAACGATAGTAAACCGTGGTTGTGACCCTTGTGCCGGACCGACAAGATTCCGACCGAGGCTCGCTTTTTGGATGCCACGTCACAAGGATTGGAAAGACCCGGAAGTTTAGAAGGGCCGAAGTATGGACGGATATTGCCTTAATTGCCACCCTAGTAGGTAACCCCCTCCAGGATTTCACCAAGGAAGATCAGAGGAGGGCCAACAAAAGGGTTCGGGATTATCGATGGATAGAGGGTAGATTAGAAAAACGGAAAACGGACGGCAGTGAGATTTGGATGGTAGTGCCGCATCCGTTCATGCGGTACGACTGGGTTAAGACAGCCCACGAGGAAACTGCGGCCCATTTCGCCGTACGAATCACGGAGTCCGCTATCGACAAAAATGAGTGGTATTGGTCCAATATCCGCGACGATGTGAAGTACATTGTCACCAACTGTCAAGTCTGCGCCGCTGACAAGGCGCCAATTCAGCCGCCAAGATCGATAGTGCCCACGGTTGTTGAACGGCCATTTCAGAAAGTGAGCATGGACACTACCGACATAATGGTGCCCCCTGGCCCTAATAGCTGCGAATATTCAATCCTTTTGGTATTTGTTTACCATTTTTCGAAATGGATCGAAGCGTATCCTTGTCGCACGCGGCAGGCCACGAAAATCGCGCGATATGTCAACCGGTTCCTCGGGATGCATCAGGATACGGAAGAGATTCTGACCGATAACGGGGCTGAATTCAGAGGAGAAGTGTTAAAGAATCTGGTCATACATGGCGTCGCCATTCGGAACACTGCACCCCACATGTCACAATCCAATGGGCTGGTCGAAAACGCTAACCGGATGATAAAGACAACATTGCGACGAAACATCGCGGCACGGGATCCGAGACCCTGGCCCGATATCGTCGATCACATCCCGGCGGTCCATCGCGGAACGCCTACGAATCGACGGGGCTAAGCCCCTTCCAATTAAGGACCAATAGTGTCGCTTGCGTTTCGATACCAAGCCTCCCGGATGAATCTACATTGAACCGATGGCCCACCAGGGCTACGGCTCGGGACAAGGCCAAACAACACTTAGAACTAATGGAACGGTCACTGCCCAGGCTGGCCCGAAAACGACAGAAAATGACCGAATTAGCCCAAGGCCGACAGGTCCGAAGTTACGAGGTCTGGAATGGGAATGCGGGTCCACGGCCCCAGTACAAATTAGGGGACATCGTGCAAGTGAGGAAATGTGCTCGCCAAGGTAAGCTAGCGCCACGATTCTTCGGGCGATTTCGCGTGATCGAACTCGGACCGAACAGTGCGAACACCATGCGACTTGCGCCCGAGGTCTCCGGCAGCCGATCGGCTCGACTGATCATCCACCACATATCCTACCTCCGTCCCCTTCCTCCTTCTCCATCTTCACCTCCATCCGATTCCTCCTCCTGCAATAGGGAAGGCGACGACGATCTCTCTCCTATCTCTCTGTCTCCCCCCTGTTCTCTCGCTCTCACCCCGACACCATCGCCATGAGCTTTGCGACAGAACAAGTGATCCGCGCACGGCTTCTTACTCCGCGGGGGCGAATCAGTGTCATACGGCAGGTGCAGCGGCCCCATCTCTGCTCAGATCTCCTCCGGTTTGCAGCTTTCTTCAGTACGTCGGCGATCTACACGGCGGCAGAGTTCCAATTCGCGGAAGAAGCAACTACGCGCGTTCTGGCCGAGATCTCGGCCTTTCGACGGCTATCCCCTCCCGGGACTAGCCATATCGCTGTCATTGTCGTCTTTACGGGGGATATCACAGCGATTCCGTCCGCGAATCACTCCGACATCTATCGAACGTTGCGCACTTCGGCTGGGGAGGTAAGGACGGCGTGGACGGATCTTCTGGCTCAGCGAGGAGATACCATCGTATCGGCGCATGACACGGACATCCAGCTCTGCTCGTCTCGAAGATCGCCCGCGATCGTGCTTCCGGAGCTTCGTCCCTTCGAGCCGCCCCAATGAGTCTTCGTTGTGTCTCCTATTTCGGCCTCCCCTCCAGCATCCCCACCCTTTGGCAGTCTGCGCGGGCTCCCACCCTCTCCTACCGTGTTAAGGAGAACAGTGCGCCGCTATTGAGTGAGGAGAAGTGGGACGCGTGGTAGGAGAACTATATCGAGCTCGCTTTCTGCCTACTAGAGATAGAGTTCCGCTGGTCAGAGGCGGCCCCATTCGGAGAAGGGCCAGAGCACCCAGAAGACAGCGTGGAGTTTCTGATCATCCAAGCCTGGAGGACAGCAGAGCAGGGCGACCTGCTGGGATTCCTGTTCGGGAAGGTGGAGGAGGGCAATCTCACCTTGATCACGGACGAGTTGCTGGTGTTTTTGACTCAGCTGGCGGACGATCTGCCCCTGGACATCTTGTCGCACAGTGACAAGCAGCCTGGCACCCACGTGCTGTCTCGAACGCTCGAGCCGCACCTTGTGTGGTCCACGTACACGGAAATCGACGAGGATATTTGTCTCTATCCCTCCCAGGCGCTCTACTTGGAGATCGAAGTTACCGATCTCACGTTTTGGGACCCGATTGCGAGGCAAAACATGGCGCAGGACGAGGAGATAAGGGGAGCAGACGAAGAAGAGGAAGAAGAAGAGCCATCGAATGAGGAAAGGGACAATCCGGACTACGTACCGGAAAGAGAGGCAGGGATAGCCGACGAATCAAACCAGGCGGAGGCGCAGGACGAGGGGGTGGAGCCAGAAGAAGAAGAAGGAAGCAGGCTATCAGGATCGGAGTGCGAAGGATTCGAGGCTGAAGTGCGCGACGCGGTGCGAGAACGAGCACGAGAGCGGAGGAAACGGAAGCGCCAGAAAACCGCGGAGGGAAAGCGACCCGCAACAGACGTATGCTCTGTCGATCCGTCGATCGGAGACCCGTGGCGTGATCCAGAGCCACCTGAAGAGGAAGACGATGGAACCACAGAAGAGGGATTACGAAGCCGAAGAAGAAGAAGAAGTGAATCGCCAACTCCCTCCGGCTCCCCGTCCTGATCCTCCCTTCGTCTACATCAAGATCTTGGCGTTCGGGCTTCATCCCCGGTCGTTCTCTCGCCGACCCCGTGACTACCTCATGCTCACCTGCCTCCCCCTTAGACCCCCGTTCCCAGATGGATGGTGTCCGTTCCCCCATCACCTTTTTTACCATCTCTACGCTACCCGCCTTCTAGTCTCCGTTTATCCACACGTCACTACTCGCTCCTTGGTTGATTCCTTTCTCCTTCATGTGCTCCAGTTTAGCGCAGACTGGCGGGAATATAACCACGTAGAATTATATTGTATTGTGTCAGGGACTATTCCCGCCTGCAAAAATTATAAAGATTTTCGCGCCGCTCTGCGACGGACCCTCTCCACCATCTACCCCGATTATATTGCCGCTTTTCGTCATCTTCATGAGGTCCCTCATTTCCCCCGCATCCATCGCTCCTTCCACTACGCTACCCTTCCCAATTTCGCCTCTCCCGCCATCAACCGCTTCATGCCCCCTCTCCCCCTGAACCATCCGCCACGTCCACCCTCCATGATCCGGCTGCCATTCCCCGGGAACGTCTAAGGTCTAGGATCTACCCCCCCCCCCCCTTGTTACACTGACGCATGGTTGATGGCATGTGTCGCAGCGACGGCGCGATAAAGATACCGTCCTTGGATCGTCGAGAGCCCAATCTGAGGAACTAGTAGAAGAGCAGAACTGCCACATTGGATGACGTCCGCACACAATCGAACGGCAAGTGGCATAAAGTAAAGTGCTCCACGTGTCGATCGATTAGAGAAATCGACACGTGTCAACAAGCAAGCAGAACTTGCTAATATTGGAACCCCCTGGGCGTCACATATGTGACGAACCACTTTCTGAAACGCGCAAGTTTCTGCGCGGTTGCAACAAGGGGTCCTAAGCTGGGAAGATTGCGCCCATCACGAAAAATCGGGATCGGTGGAAAATTGCATCAGTACCCTTGCTTCTTCGTCTTTTTCGTCGCTTCTTCGGGCGGGGTGTGCTGGGACGGCCGGTAGAATGGTTGGTCGGATGGATGTCTGGCGCGCCACCACGCGCACGATTAATAAATGTTGATGTCGTTTCTTTTCGTTCGATTCTCGATCTTTTGGGCGCGGACATCGCGCGGGAAATTGCTTCGTCCTTTTTGAATTTTCATTTGAATCTTTTTTTCTCTCTTTCGAATTTTGTCGAGCCACCCCCCGATGGCTCTCGGAATTTTGGACTTTCCTTCTGGAATTTGTGCTTTTTCTTTTTCGCATTAGATAGGAATTTAGGAATTCAGTAATTAGGATTTTTCCTGCCGCGCGGCGCCTTTTGTTCTCGCGCTTCTTCATGCGGCTGCAACGGTAGTCTGATTAGTGGACGCCCTTAATCGTATGTGTAACTGTAATTTTGGGCGGGCGCCCTTGTAATTGTATCTCTCTTCTTGCACTTTGTCTCTCCCGCCCTCCCTTTCTTTCTTTTGCTGAAATTTTGTAGGCCGCAGCCTGCATGCTCGGATCGATGAGTGGAGAAGGGGTACGTCCCCACGCCGTGGCCGATCATGCAGAACGCAGGTGCTCCCTCTCTAATCTTCACTCTAAGTCCTCGTAATTCCGTGTTCTTCGCGCATGCATGCACGCTATAAATTTCGGATGCGCGATTAGTCAGCTC